TTGGGTGCGATTTTGAAGCTGAAATCGCGTTCGGTGTGAACGCAGCATAAGTCTCTGAGATTTTATGTTTGTGTCACTGTGTCTGTCCTCATTACTCTGCTAAATGTGACAAAAGTTCCTTCTTTTAACACGAAGAAACCTTAAACCCAACCCTGACCTAAAGTGAGAAACAAGCTGCTTTAAGGTGATTTTTCATTTAAAAGAATTTAAATAAATCGCCGCAGGTGTTTTCTACAATTTTACAAATTCAACAAATAAGTAGAAGAAAACTCTTTAAATGCTAAATTCATATTTATTCTTAATAATCCCAAACAGAATTGCATTCAAACTCATTCTAACTTTTTTTCCGGCAGCTATTAGCTCTTTGTGTCAATGTATTTTATGCAACATTAACTTTTCTGAATGCATTGTTAARCAATAATACTGAATTTCAGTTTGAAACTTGTTGATTTATTGTGAGGCATTGGTTGTAATGCCCTCCTATAAAGCAGCTGCCAAGGCTTGCTCATTTTCTTCAGGAAGAAAAAAAAATCCAATAAAACTTAGATTTTGCACAAGTAATACATTATGCAGGGGCAATAATATAATCAAAGTAGTTTTCTGTAGGATATCCTCATTTTTTATAGTTTTGTTTGTTTAATCCTGTTGATGCGCACRGATGAAACATGATGAAAAAGTTGATCATTAACCTGATTTTTTTTTCTCCCTTCAAAAGTTGTTGATGAGTTGCGTCTCTGCTCATAGCAGCAAAGCTTCTGTCATCTTCTCTGCAGATTCTGGTTTGGCACACTTAAAAAAAACCCTCAGATCTCTTCTCCTTAGATGTTTGAGGACTCCATATTTTCATCCCTCATTTTAAACAGATTACARCGTCTGATATTGATGCACAGAAAGAAGTACTGCAAACAGTGTTAGACGGCCGAATGTTTCAATCACATTTACATTAAAATGACCCATACATGTTGGATATTCATATCTGTTTATGGAGATTACATCAAGCTAATATTGTGTCACGAGAATATTGAACTTTATTACAAGCTCTAATAAGATTTTTTGGGGTCAAAGCATTTGCTGTATTGCACTGACTCCTCACATCTTTTTATATTACTGTATGATAAATCCCCAGCACGGCTAAAATATTAAAAATGAAAAGTGAGTTAAATAATATAAATTCAGTGATTCGTACGAATGTTAAGCAAAGTGTAATTGAGATCCTTTTGTCCTTGTAGTAATAAAAACACACAGATCATCTGTCAGATGTTGATTATATTTTGGAAATCAGTTTAAAAACACAATCAAATGCAGGTGATTGCTGTGCGTGTTGTACCTGTCCCCAAGAACCGGTGAGCCACTGAGCACACGGCTGGCTGTTGCACGGCTGAATGTTGCTGGGCTGAAGGTCTCYGTCGCATCGTTGCTCCTCAGGACAGGTGACGATGCGCTGCTGCTCCCCCCCTCCACACACCTCCGAGCACTGACCAAACACACGGCACGAAACATAGGAAAGTCTGTCTATAGGTTCCCCTGATTGATTTTTCAACCAAGAGATGATTCAATGAAGAGTATTGAGCGCAGGCATTGTGGAACATGACCCTAATACAACTAAAAACATGACAGCTCTTTTTTTTCAGTTTTAACCTCCAAAATAATGCAGCACTGACTGATCTACTGTCACGTTTGCTCAGAAGAAATTCTAGGAGGCTTTTCAAGGAAACAACTTACGGACTTGAAAACCGAAAACAGACCTGTTTTTTTAAACCCAATCAGTGACTCAACACTTACTTCAGCTAAATGATTCATCTGTTGTTGTTGGAGACTCGCTCTGAAATACCCAATCAAAGGTTTGCAGTAAGTATTTTTCAAAGCTTTTACCACAACTCTGAGCATTACTCTTCTTTTCTTGACAACAGAGCATCTGTATAGAGTTTGTTTTTTGCTTCACAAACTGAGGGCATTAATAATAAAAGGAAAAAAAACCTACAGATTTATATTGTCCACTGCTGCTCTAAAATGATGCTGCTAGTTTTGTTTTTCCAAGCAGGAACAGGAAAACAGGAACATATAATACAAGTGTTGGCCTCACGCCAGAGACTTTCTGCTCCTGGATCAGTCTTATTTACAGGATCACACTTCATCTAAAACAATTATTTATTTGTTTTACCAGGTGAGACATTAAGAACAGGTTCTTATTTCCAGTGATGRTCTGGCAATAAGACTGACGAGAAAGATTTTCTAACATGTTTTAAGATCTAAACACACAAACAAATGAAGACACAATCAGACCTGTCCAGTTGCTACTATTATTGTGAAATAACTGAGCCACRGTATCTGAACATTAAGACACTTTGAACCTTATGTTTTGTGTTTTATAAAAGGCTTCACTACTTTTTAAAGCCCCATCCAGCTAGAATTAACGAGCTGGTTTATTAAATGTATTTAAGGAGATTTTAAATGTTTTCAAGAAGCAGACATCAGATTGCAAATGTTTGAACTGACGGTAATATTCTGGGCATGTACAGATGCATTTCTTCAGACGAAATTTATTTTATTTAAATGTTACCAATATTCTCATTAAGAGTTTATTTTAATAAGTGTTACATCCGACGTGGAAATATGTTCTTTGGTCTACATTATTTTGAGATAAAAATTTAAATTAAGGATGGCCTTTTTTATTGTTAAATGTCATTGTTGCTAATACTTGTTTAATGACCTGAGTCTCTGTTTTGTAAAAAATGTTTCAGAGAATGCTCCTAAGTAAAAAAAAAAAAGACATTGGCATGGACATCTGCTAATGCTAAGCAATTATTAAGTTTCCATGCATAAATGTTTATCCTGAAACCATCACAGAGACTATTTTCAGATGCGCTAGGCATATTTTGTTTTTCAGCCTCCTTTCAACACATAGCAACATATTCAGCTGCTTCAAAATAACGTGCTTATTACCATCGTCCTACCACCACTGTTTGCATTATCATAATGCAAAAAAAATGGGCACCATGCTTCAGATGAGAGTGCAGCTAAGTTTCCTGGCTACAAAAACTGTAATGGACCTCACTGCAGTTTATTCAGAGAGCAAATGAGCCYGGCAGCTGATGGGGACATGATAATGAGTGACACTTCAAAGATGAAGGCTTCCAGTCTCTGATGCAATGGGGTGTAATGTCAATAAAGTTTTAAAGTATGTTGGTGTAATTAAACTGCCCACCATGCTTTGTCACCCACAGGTGGTTCACACATAACAGCATTACATTTGGCCTGACGCCAGCACGTTCTTCATACTTTGATGCAAACTTGTTTGTATCTCAGCCATTTTCACTTCACACATCAGCATGTTAAAAAGATCCTAAAGGGACAAAAAGTGCTCAGAAACGAGCACATATTCATCTTTAGTAAACCTGTATATTTCACTCACTTGACCCCAGGAGGAGGTGTACCAGTCAAGACACGGCTGGACGTTGCACGGCTTCTGTGTTGATGGTCTTGTAGACATCGCTCGGCAGTGGAAAGGCCGCAGAGGTCTTTCATCTCTCAGGTCAAAACACTGCACCTCTCGAAATTTGATGCCGCCTTCGCAGTTCTTGGAGCACTGGGAAAGAGGTGAAGCATGACCTTTAGGTGAACAGCGGGATCCACTGATGCTTGCAGGCATCCATGGGTCTGGTGCATCAAAGTTCACTGCGCCGTGTTAAACTGCTTTAACCACTCGTGAATTCTAATAAGGTGGTGGTTAAGTAGCAAACATCAGTTCTGCCTTAGATTTTTGTACATCTGTGATCATAAGGCCTAAATATGAAGTTTTAAGAAAACCATGTCAAGCTTTTTATACAGAGTCAACAAACAACAAAGGGCAAGCAGTCTCACCTTGCTCCATTCTCCAATCTTCCAGATGGAGCAGGGGCGTAGGTAGCACTGTCGAGCCGGTGCAGGCTTTTGTTTTGGATCACAGTCAGACTCTGAACCAGTACTGCAGGTCAGACTCCTCCAGACAGCACCCAGACCACAGCTGGTGGAGCACTGTTCACAGAGAAACGCTTTTTTAAAGACGAGGAACATTTCAGCTGCCTGTCACCCACATCTCAACTTTTAAACGTTCAGATTTCAGAGAGATGCATGAACCTGAACCTGAGTATGACAGAATCTTTACTTAATAAATGATAAAATATAGACATTTTGAAGTGTATTATGTTGGATGTTCTCTGTGAAATACAAACTGTTATATTTATGCAGCAACAATCAATGTCATGCAAAAGTGTGAAGGTCTTTTATTAGGGAAGGCAGCTTTCTTTCACACTGGTATTTTTATTTTATTTTTTTAAGAGACATAAATTATTAAATGAAGGCCTTGCTTTGGGCCAATTTCGTCCTTTTTCATACTCTACGTTATGTTACTGATGTCATGGCTGATAGGGTAATAACTATAACTATTTGTCAGAAAATAATGTAAAAAAAAGCCCTTTCTTTACATCTTGCTCTATTTTGCATCAGCTCTAGATCAGGTTGTGGTTTTTTATAAGACTTGCTTTCTGGGTCCTTGGGGCTATATTTGCAAAAATAAATACACATAAATAAACTTACTGTGCTCCAGTTACCAGTGACCCAGAATGCAGCTCCACTAACGTGCGGGGAGGCAGAAGTTTGGGCTGAATTTGGCCAAAGCCTCTGTGCGCGGGTCGGGAGAACCGGAGCAGTTGGTGATTTCATATGCTTCCCCAGTGCTGAGCTGTGTTTTGGGGTGGCTGATGTAACTTTTGATGTGTCAGGTTGACTGTTAACACTGCTCCCCGCCACCGAGGGAACACATATTTCATTATGGTTCAAGTCATTTAACTGAAAGAGTGGAGGCTGGGATGTGGGGTTTGTTCCAGTTGTCTCAGGGAAGACAGGATATGAAAAATCCATTGTAGCTGTCTGTAAATCTGCTGCAGGGATCTCTGTAGCTCCCCGAGGCTTTGTATTTGGTATGTTTTCTGTTCCAGTTAAAGACAAGTAGTCGTCGGATGTGTCTACGTGACCTGACACAAGAAGGAAGGTAGTGGGAGGAGGAGAGGATTCCTCAGAGGAAGGAGGCGATGCCGTGGTGTGGTCACTGTTGGCATACCAGGATTTATCAGCACTGGTGGAAAAATGATTTGAATTCAAGTCCAAATCCTCCGCTGTGAATGCAACCTGTACCTTTGCAGTCAGACTAGTCGTTTGAGGTATTTCAGAATCGTCAAGTTCAGTCCTAACCTGAGTTGCAGCTGTCGGAGAGGGAGAGCCAAACCGTTCTGAATTCTCTGCATCTTCTTGTTCTGCAGAGGAATAATCATCAAGTAACTCCAGAGAGCTCAGTGTTGTTGAAGCATGAGTGGTTTGATGTTTGGGAGTGGGAGCACCACGTGTTAACGTTACAGTGGGACGTTCAGAGTGATTGTCCTCCTCATCGGGCAGCCTCCATGTTTCCTTCAGGGCTGGCTGCTTTGTGGTGTACAGCAGACTGGGCACTGAGCTTGGGTCTTCAGGCCACCACAGGCTTTTATCTTCTACCGTTTGTGAGTGCTCAGTTGTAGACTTTGGTGACGACCGAGTGGGAGACACAGAAAGAAGGTGATCCTCTGACAGAATGGCGTCTAAATTTTCATCATTTACTTCCTCAGAACTGGTTTTCCTACTGTCTGTTTTAGTGCCCTGGGGCTCTTCAGCTGTCAACGTGGGAGCTTTTAAAGTTGTAGGATCTGATTCAGGAGCTCTTGTAGTTCCCATGTGAGCGTTTTCTTCCATGCTGTGGGTCGGTTTGGCTTCCTGCGGACGATTGAACCCATTGCTGCCTTCTGAATTCTCATTGCTCTCAAAGTCTTGGGACAAATCTTCATGAAAGTTAATAAAGTTGTAATCATAGTAAAAATCATCGACGGGAACACTAATTTCTTGTGGATCATTGCTTTCAATGTTATTGTGGTAGGTAAAGTCTCCCTCATCGATGAAATTGCGGTCTTTATGGGTTCTTGGCTGGCCTCTGGTGGGGCTGTGTTTGGGAGGAGGTTTGACTTTAGGAATCGGGTTAATTTCGTTGAGCACTTCGCTGCTGGACCATCCACTCCCTGACCATTCGATGCCTCCAAAATTATCAACAATCTGTGCGCAAACCTGAATGTGGCAAGCTGTGACAGATAAAGGTTTGTTTTGAGGGTCACAATCGACACCTGTGTTTCTGGAGCAGGTGACGTTACGTAGACGAAACCCAGTTCCACAGGTGTGTGARCACTGCAGGCAAGGACAGACAGAAAGAGTGGGGTTAGGGGCGTCTACATACAATATGTCTGTAAACTGTAAACTTTAACAATGTAGAGGCAACAAAAACATTTAGCATGTGTCAAATACTTACACAGAACTGCCTTTTTACAACTTTGAATGTATTTATGGACATATAAGATTACAAATCAATGTGTAAGAGGTCTAGACTGGTGCGCTTTCAATTTGACAAGCTCACTCTCTAAATTAGGGCCAACAATGCAGCATTCTGAAACACACATTATGTGCAAACAGGAATACAGAGTAAAAAAACAGATTAAACCAGGAGCTGCAGGCCAGATAAAACAGTTTGGTGGCTCTATGCAGGCACTTTTACTCAACCAGGACTATGCTTCAGGAGGAGATTAAGTCTCATTTATTAACATTTTTATATAAGCCACTTATGACAAGAATGTCACTTTTGAAAATTTCTGTTTAAGAGGACATCCAAGCTGTGTTTTGTTGAGCTCACCTGCCTTTAAGATGGCAAAAGGTTTTTAGTTTTTTTTTAATAAGTTGTACTCAAATCTGAAGGAAGCAACTTTCTATTAGTGCAAGAAGTAAAACTCTGATGACAAAAAAAAAGATTGATTGGGATCCACTGAACTGTAGGACAATATAAAAACTTTTGCAAGGTTTTGCTCCTTTTTGTTTAAAAAAATCTGTCAAAAACTTCCTTTGTATGTAAGTCATGTTTAGAAGTCAACAGCAATATTAAGGTCATATTTATGTTTCATTTGAGTCTTTTTAATGGTTCTTTAACTGCTCTCATCTAAATTTCAAAAAAGAAAACTATTTACTTCTTTATTAGTTCATATTTATTCAAACTTAGGTTCTAAAACCATGATATGTATTTATATATATAATTGATTTTAATACATTGTGACATTTAACTATTTCCCAAAGAGACACATCATCTCTGTTCAAAAACATGCTGTTTTTGTTTTGTCAGTTGTACCTTAGATTAGATCAGAAGGCCACATACATTTTTTATTCTCCGTCAACAATCGCAGTAATTAGATGTCTAGAATTCCTTGCAGGAATGCATAAARTTAAACAGTTTGCAATGATTTTTCTGCCTCCCTCAGAGTCTCATTCAAATCCATTCAGTGGTTAATGAGATAGTTTGCTGACAGCAGCTGCAAAAAAGAGAATAGAGCCATTTCTCTGTGAAGGTGTAAAGAACATGGTGATGTTTGAAAAGTAATAATTCCTACAGTAAAATGTACCWATGTGTGGTAACATTCAAATATTTTCTAATAGAAACCATAATTCTGGTTGTAAAGTTGGCTGTTGTTACTGATTTTAGTGTTAGATGTTTAATTTCCGTCCCTTCAGTGTAATTAGGGCTCCTTGTAAAYCATGTCAGTAGTAGCAGGAGAGCAGTTTGTCTGACATCATTAGTGTATGAATGGGTAACGCTGCTCCATACTAAACTATTATAGAGAAAAAAGCTGCAACTGTTTACATCACACTCAGCAAGATGGCCTRCATTTCTCAATGAGCCCCATTTAGCTACTTTTAAACAATTTACTTTGTAAGAACTAAAAAAAGGGGGGACAAATTTGAAACCTGGTGACTTAATGAGGCAGGTTGATTTATAAATGTCTGGTTTAAAGCAGCTGGGCTGATTTTTTTACAAGCTGTAAAGACACCTTTCCCCCATATGTTGCTGAGCTGCCTCTGCACATCAAACAGGCTGACTCACTTCCTGTTTTTAAATCTTCTTTTGAAGAATATATTATTTTTTCTYGTCGGCTTTTAACTCAGCTTGAGTTGTTGGCTTTTATTGTTTTTATTGCTTTATAGTTTGTTGTTTTTATGAATTTAACGGTTCATAATGTTTTTACTGGTTTAATTGGTTTCATTATTTTTATGCTTGCTTTAATGTGTTTTGAACTTTTCAGTTTAATTTTGTTCTTTTATCAGTGTACGACACTTTGGCTAACAGTGTTGTTTTTAAAGTACTTTATGAATAAAGCTGCATTTCATTATACACTGCTCGGCCAAAAAATAATAATAAAAGGAAGGTCATTACCTGGATTTAACTAAGCAAACAGTAAAAGCCTTTCATTGGGTAATTGCTGTATGGTTGAATATGTTTCAGCTGACAACACATCGTTTAACCCTAACTAACGCAATGAGGAGCTTCTTATTTGTTAAACAACCATGTTGAAAGACACGTTCCACAGTCGTGGAAAAGATGTTCATGTGTTTCAGAAGGTCAAATCATTACATCACAGAAGGAGATTAATGAAAAATCATGTAAAGAAATGTGTGAGAGAAGTGCTTATGAGCCGCCGCTGCGTCCAACTGCCCACACCCTGTTCATGTTGAGAGCTGCACAACAAGACTGCGTGCACGTGTGTGTGTGTGTGTGTGTGTGTGTGTGTGTGTGTGTGTGTGT